CACACAGCTCTGCCTAGAAGGTCGATGTCCAGGTTCCTAGGCCAACACCTACCTTGGTCTTGGATCTATAGGTCGACAAATGTCCCCTAAGGGTGCTACGGTCTTTTAGAGGGGCTCCCCTGAAGATGGTTTTTCCTTCATATTTCCGAAACGTGTTGAGATAAAGACATACAATTTGGTATTCTAGCCTAGTTTTTTATGCTGGATTTGAAAATATTAACAATTTTAGACAGTTTTGTTTGGAAGCATATGTAACAGGGACGGACTCAGGTTATTTTAGCCCCAAAATTTTTTTGTGATTTTATTTTTGAAATTCAATTTTAGAATTTGAAAATTTAGGGTTTTCTACATACAAAAGGTACTCTTATTGAATATCGATAAATTGTGCTATTTTTGAATAAAATCAAACTAAAACATTTGTCACATGATAGGAAATGTACTGTGAATTTAAATGAATTGTTGAATATACATAGTTAGCCATGACTGCAAACAAAAGTTGTTTTGATTTGTTATGACTTGTTTTGACGTTAAGCTGACATTGTTAGCAGTGTAAAATTACTAATTATAATCAAAATTTTTATTAAATCGATTTAAAATGCCAAGATTTACAGACAGAGAACTGAGTGACATGCATTTTGTGTACGGGATTTGCAATGGCAGTTCATTGGCAGCCGTAAGAGAATATCAAAGAAGATTTCCCAATCGCATAGTACCTGGACGTCGAATGTTTACTGATATTCACCGGAATTTGTCAAACCATGGAAGTTTTCAGCTCATGCAGGGCTCAGGAAGGCCACTGAGAAATTATCGTATGGATATTGCTTTAAATATGTTTGAAAATAATCCGCAAATAAGCATACGAAATGTTTCAGAAAATATGGATATACCTCGATCAATAGTAAGAAAAATTTATGAATACCTATTTGATAGTTATCCTAAAAATAATAATTTTAGATAGGAAGAATGACAAGAATGCAAGGATTACATCCTTATCATTTTAAACGGGTGCAGCATTTAACGGAGGCAGATTTTTTACCACGTATCTTTTGCCAGTGGATATTAGCAAACGAAAACACTATTCCTAGAATATTATGGTCGGATGAGTCAATATTTACTAGGAATGGTGCTTTTAATTTCTATAACATGCATCACTGGTCAGATGAAAATCCAAAAGTTGTTCGCCGTACAAATTTCCAACATAGATTTTCATTGAACTTACGGGCAGCAGTAATTGGGCCTATTGTACTTCTCAATCGTCTTAATTCAGAGCTGTATCTGAACTTTCTTCAGAATGAGCTCATGGATATAATACCATTGGATGTGCGCCAGCAGTTTCAAGAAAATATGTTTTTTCAACATGATGGCGCCCCTGCACATTTTGGACGCAATGTCCGAAATTGGTTGAATGTCAATTTTCCAGACAGGTGGTTAGGCCGAGGAGGTCCTATAGCGTGGCCGCCACGTTCAACTGACCTAAATCCATTGGATTTCTATTTTTGGGGGTCATTAAAAGACCTAGTTTACTCGACTGAAGTAAATACTCAAGAAGATTTACTTCAAGGAATCCATCAGGCTGCAAATGAAATAAGAAGAAAAAGGTTTTCCACTTTTCGGGCTACGCAATCATTAGTTCGTCGAGCGAGACTCATGTATCCAACAAAATGGGAATTTATTTGAACACTTATTGTAAAGCTAGTTTTAAGTATATCCAACTGTATGTCTTCTTTTTTAAATAAATTTCAATTTCGTTCGTAGAAAAAAATTATTTCTTTTGTTTTTGCCTAAATGCTGGCTATTTTGCAATAGAAATATGTATTTACGTAATATTTACCAATTATTAAATTAGTTTTTTCGTTGCTATGGCTAATTATTCAACAATTCAGTTAAATTCGCAGTACATTTCCTATCATGTGACAAATTTTTTAGTTTGATTTTATTCAAAAATAGCACAATTTATCGATATTCAATAAGAGTACCTTTTTATGTAGAAAAAAAGAATCACACAAAAATTTTGGGGCTCAAATAACCTGAGTCCATCCCTGTTATGTACTGTCTAAATGTTAATATTCTTAAATCCAGCATAAACAACTAGGCTAGAATACCAAATTTTATGTGTTTATCTCAACACGTTTCGGAAATATTAAGGAAAAACCATCTTCAGGGGAGCCCCTTTAAAAGACCGTAGCGCCCTTAGGGGACGTTTGTCGACCTATGTTTATATGAACTTTTCTTAATATTTTAAGCTCTAGAAACCGCTGGTAGAATATTGCACACTTTTTTCGGGACACCCTGTATATACAGGGTGGCTCATCGAAAACGAAACAGACGCATTTACTGGCAGCTCAATTTTTTTTTTGGAAAAACGCTCAGACCCGTCGGTTTTGTTTGCGAGGGGGACACAAGTCTGGCAAAAAATCACGTTAACACGTGCAGCCCCCTGGGCGGGGGTGACACCAACCCTAAAATCTTAAATGGTAAGGAGGTCGAGTGATACCTTATTTTAAAGGTCTTTCAATTCCCTTTATAATGATGTAAAATACATGAGCTTTAGTTCAGTAGTTTTGAAGATTTATTGATTTAAAGCTTAAATTAGACCTTAATAGGTTCATCAGATTAGTTTATACTACTTTCAGAAGAAATTTGACTAAAAGTATGTAGTTGATAAGTAAATGTTTTTCTTCACTACGCCTATGGTTTGTTTATCATTTTGTTGTAGAAAATAGCTATTGGAGCGTTTTTTTGTGGCAAAATAGTTATTTCTTGAAGAAAGATCAGGAAATATCTCGTACTTATTTCAAATAGGAATTTAGTACATAGTTTGCGATTGATTTGACCAAACTTTGTTGCTAAAATAGCTTGTAACGCTTTATTACATAAATTAACCATGGTATATACCACAGCAGAAAGAGTTGAAATTATCGAAATATTTTTCGGAAATAATCAGTGCGGTTATAGAACAGCAGAAATATTTAATGAGCGACATGAGAACAGTAACGTGCATCGAAAATATGTTCTAGAACTTGTAGCTAAATTTCTGGAAACTGGGTCAGTCGCCAATAAAAAACATTGAAAATCCCATAACGAACGAAGCAATAGAAGTGGGGGCTTTAGGGCAAGTTTATGTAGATCCTACGTACCCGCAAATTGGAGACTGTGTGTGGTGTTAGTCGACGTACTGTCCAACGGATTCTAAAGGCCCATCGTTTTCATCCATATAAAATTCACCTGGTACAAGCACTTAATGAAGACGATTTTGATCGGCGATTACAATTTTGTGAAGATATGAGTGAACGAATTATAAACGATGAACATTTTATATTCAACACTTGCTTTTCCCACGAATGTTCCTTTTTCTTAAATGGCGTAGGAAATCGTCATAGCTGCCGATATTGGTCCGATTCTAATCCCAGAATTTATTATGAGGTTCATACACAGCAGCCACAAAAATTAAATGTTTGGGCTGGTATTTTTGGCGATCATTTAGTTGGTCCTTTTTTCTTACCTGGAAATTTGACCGGTGAAATGTATTTGGAATTACTGGAAGACGCCATAGATCCTGCATTAACAGCCATAATTGAAAATCAGAATGATCGGCGGTACATTGCGAATAGGTTGATGTTCTAACAGGATGGTGCAACACCACATTACGCATTACGTGTGCGACAATATTTAGATCAGACGTTTCCAGATCGATGGATTGGGAGAAGAGGTGCCATTGAATGGCCCCCAAGATAGCCAGATTTATCACCTTTGGATTTCTTTATGTGGGGTCATTTAAAAAAGCAAAATCGATGCTACTAAGCCAACATCATTAGAAGACCTGCGACAAAGAATTGTGAATGAGTGCCTTCAAATTACTCCTCAAATATTGCAAAGTGTGCGGCAACGTTTTGAGCAAAATCTTTATTATTGCATGGAGAGTCATGATGGCCATTTTAAACATTTACTTGAATAACGGGTCAGTTCATTCTTCATCTTTAAATTACTTTGCTGCCAAATGTATTGATCTCCACTAATGATGATGTATTAGTTTTATTTAAGCTTTCAATCAATAAATCTTCAAAACCACTGAACTGAAGTACATTAATTTTATATCATTATAAAGGGAATTGAAACACCTTTAAAATAAGGTATCACTCGACTCCCCTTTCCATTTAAGATTTTAGGGTTGGTGTCACCCCCGCTTAGGGCGCTGCACGTGCTAACGTGATTTTTGCCAAACTTGTGTCCCCCTCGAAAACAAAATCGTCGGGTCTGAGCGTTTTTCAAAAAAAAAAACTGAGCTACCAGTAAATGCGTCTGATTCGTTTTCGATGCGCCACCCTGTATATATATATATACAGGGTTATCCAAATTAAGTGTCCACCATTAGTAACTTTGTTATTAGTGAAAATACAAAGTTGTTTGAATTAGCAAACTAGTAGCATTTTTAACGCTGGTAAAAATGAGAAATAAAAAAAACAATTGAGAGTCGTTATTTTGATTTTTTTCAATAAAATAACATTTTTTTAAATGGAAACCCCTGTATATTATATTCTTTTCTGTTAAAGCATCAAATTTTAAACAAAAAAGCTTACAATAACTTTTCTCCTAGGTTACAAATTGTTGAAGTTATGGCCTCCAATCTGAAACAATTAAATTGTATCGACAAACTTTATTTTCAACATCAACTTATAATCTTACAAAATACAATAACAATTTTTTTTAAAGAAGATGCTCGAAAACACCACCTTGTTCTTCAATACATTTTTGGGCACGTTTTTCAACTGCTCGAACTGTCTTAAGTATGGTCCTACCATCTATCTGGGTTATCTTTTCCCTAACTGCAGTCTTTAACGCGTCAAGGTTATCGTACCTTCGCTTGTAAATTTGGTTCTTTAAGTAACCCCACAAGAAGTAATCAAGTGGGTTTAGATCTGGTGATCTGGGAGGCCACTGTATTGGGCCATTTGTTCCTATCCACTGATCATTAAAAGTAGTACTTAGAAAATGATAAGTACCTCTGGAGTTGTGGGCAGGTGCGCCATCTTGCTGAAAATGCAGATGATGTCTACTTATAAGATCCAATTCGTCTAAGAAATTAGTCAGAATTTCTGACATAAATTCCACATATCTTTCACCAGTTAGGGTTCCCTCATAAAAGAACGGGCCAACAATTTTTGAACCAATTATACCGCACCAAACGTTGAAACTGAAACGGACTTGTGCGCCTCTTGGATGTACTAACAAAAGATTTTCTCTTGACCAATAATGGTGGTTTTTTCTATTAAACATTCCAGAATTTGAAAAATTTGATTCATCTGTCCATAAAAGGTAACGAAAGTTATTTACATTTTGGCGACAGAAGCTAAGATACCAATGGCAAAAAACAAGTCTTCTCTCTGGATCCCCTGCCAAAAGCGTTTGAACTGGTCGGTACTTATACGGAATAAATTTGTATTTTTTTAAAATCCTTTGAACAGTACCATAACTGAAATTAGAGTCCTTGAGAATATCTGCTATTGAATTCTCACGATAAGCTTCAAAATATCCAATAACTGCAATTTCCGTGGCCTCGCTTATTATGAATTCTTTTTTTGCCCTTGTTTTAGCAACAACATTTTCGTTGCCCCTAAATTTTCGGTAAAGTCTCAGAAAATATCGTTCATACGGTTGAATTGGAGCGGGATATAATTCACTGTAGTATTCTCTTGCTCTCAAGGAGGATTTTCTGCACACTAAATAGCATTCTAACATATCACACTTTTCTTCATGGGAGAACATTTTTCTTTAAATTAATGACACAATATAGCTTATAAACAAGTATTTACACTAATGTTTGACATTATTTGATTTTATCATTGTTTTCCAAAGCCTTCTAGTTGCGAGTATGTCCAGTTTAACAATTTGTCGCTTATCTTAATGCTGTCAAATCGCGAACGCCATGTTGTTTTCATAGCCGTCTTAATATTATAATACTGCAAATAATTAAAAATATTTATCGTTATTTTGACTTTATTTTTGACTTTAGCGGAAAAGTCATTATGAACTTTTTTGTTTAAAATTTGATGCTTTAACAGAAAAAATATAATATACAGGGGTTTCCATTTAAAAAAATGTTATTTTACTGAAAAAAATCAAAATAACGACTCTCAATTGTTTTTTTTTATTTCTCATTTTTAGCAGCGTTAAAAATGCTACTAGTTTGCTAATTTAAACAACTTTGTATTTTTACTAATAACAAAGTTACCAATGGTGGACACTTAATTTGGATAACCCTGTATATATATATATACATATATATATATATATATATATATATATATATATATATATATATGTATCTTTCCTTATCAGGTTAACTTGCTGTTCCCACTCATTCCTGTGTGTCATTGTCACTGAATAGGGTTAAGCATATCTCGTTACCTTTTGGCATTATATCAGAAGGCATTCCCAGACTGTGGTGGTTTTGCAAGTCCACCAGCATGTCCGTCTTCTCCATAGTGATATTGTGCCACATGATATAGTCTATAATGAATCCTGCTTGCCTTGTCTTCCAGGTATATGTGCAAGGGGGTAAATTCCATAGCTGCAGTTGGTGCGGTACGAAAGGCACCAGTGATCAACATACAAGCTTCCCTCTGTATTGAGCTCAGTTTGGCTTGAACATCTATAGTTAAACATAGGCAAATGCGATTGACTAAAGTTTCTGTTAGAAAATGCGCAAGCCCTCAATATTTCATTTGTAATGTCTGGAGTGATAAAAGGCACACATGAATTGCACAAGTAGCATGTGACAACACTAAAGTCTCCACCAGAATTCTTTTCGATTGCTGTGTCTACGTCGACTACTATATAGGATTTTAAGGTTACTGTATCATCTTTTTACACAGATGTGACATGCTCCGAGAAGGTTAGTGCATAACCAATTTTTTTTTTGTTACATCTCTATATTTTTTCATTTTTTATGCTAATATTTATTTTACTCGGGCATCTGCCTCGAGCCTTACTCCTACCAAAGAACATCTAAAGCTTCCAAGTCTTCATTGAATTGATCACATGCTTTATCGATATCAATCTCTTCAGATATTATATATAGCTGTGTGTCAACTGCAAGGTGTTTAATATAGGAAGGCCTAACACGGAGCCTTGCGGGACACCATTCAAGAGCTCGAGCTGAGGTCATTTTTGTGTTTGCAATGTTACTGTCTGAGATCTGCCAGTTATATAGGATCCAATTCGATATATAGCATCTTGGAAAAAGTTGAAATAACACAACAGAGACAATAAGACTTGTTGGTTAATTCTGTCGAATTTTTTGCTACATGTAAATATACCTTCAACTATTTTCAGTAAGACCGTAGAACAGCTGTGACTTGCTCGAAAACTAGATTGAATCTCTGGCAGTATCTTATCAATGAAGTCTAGCAATTTCATATAATACCTAAAAAACATAATATCTCATTTTTGAAGTTAAGGAAGAAAGACGGATGGGGAAAATGACCAACCACCGACTTCGTTGCTGCTAAACGTATTTGTGCCTGGTTATGTGTCCGATCGTGTTTTACCGCAAGTGACTTTACTTCTGATGACTTTGGTCACGATCTATCGGACATGGCGTGGTCGACGAAGCAAAGCCAAGCCTGACGTCGACGACATCGCAGCCTGAATCCTCGACTGCCGTGGCTTCCACGCAAACCGATCGAAACACAATCTGCATATTTTATGGCGCTGCTGCAGGGTGATGCATAGCAGAGACCACTGAGAGAAAATTCACACCAGCAAGGGTATTATTTTAGTAGCCAGGAAGTTCACCTTCAGTGTTTGTAACGAAATAATATTTTTTGATGAATAGTTAATTTCTTTACAATTTGGAATTTTCAGAGATCAACTTGGAACCTCATAGTTTATGTCAACTTAGTCTCTATTGCTTCCCAAGTAGGTCTTGCAGATGGCTGATCTAGTCCTTCCCTGTCTCAAGATCACTTTCCTCAATGTCAATGAAGGGATCGATTTAAGCTCCATCATGGACTGGAGAAACGACGGATTGCCTCTCCAATGAAAAGGCCGATAGGTTTGACTGGATGGGTGTAATTTTATCACTTGTTGTTCATGACAAGTTAAATCGGTATGTAAAAACTTCTTGAATTCTAATAAACTTACGTAGTTGTAGGTGTTTTTTGTCACTAAGTATACAGGGTGACTTCGAAGTTGAGTCATTTATTTTAACAGTGAGTAGATCTGATCAAAAGAAATGTTTTTTTCCTTTACCATTTTTCTGGTAAAATTAAAGTAACAAAGTTATAGCCCTTTGGAAGTTTGAGTACCGCCCTGTCTCAATGTGCTCGTGTTTGGCGACAACGGATATAATCCGTCGTATCGGTTCATCGCATCGGAAACAAAAAAGCGAAAGAATTTGGAACGAATTATTTCATTCATTTGTATACAGTAAGTGTCAGTGAATAGTTGTATCTGTTGCGTGGCTCAAACGAAATAAAAAATGGCACATGTTTATGCGGATCGGTTTCCCAATCGTGTGCAACCAACCCCTCGTGCCTTTGTTAATGTAGTACAACGGGCTCGTGAATCAGGTGACTTAAGACCTCACAGGGGACCTCACGATCAAATACAGGTCCGCACTGAAATACTTGTCGGGAGGATACTTTATAAAACAAGGTAAAAAATTTTTTTTAATTTTTTTTTTATTTTTACACACATATTTTGGTTTATATTCCTTCTACAATCATTATCTGAAAATTAATGACTCAACTTCAAAGTCACCCTGTATACAGGGTGTTGCCTAATGATATGCGAATATTTAAGGGTGTGAATCTACATGAAAAATTAATGCTAGTTTGCTTTATAAACTATGGTTCAAAAATGTTTCCTTACAAAAACTCGGGGTGTTGAAGTTTTAGAAAAAAAAATGGAAATTATTTAATAATTTCAGAACCGCTTCACATATTTAACTGATATTAAGTACGTAGTGAAAGTTAATAAAGTTACATATTTTTAAATGCAAAAATAATTTTCAGCTGTAACAGTGGCGTGCGTACGGGTATTGACATTTTTTAAGAAAAAAATGGTACGCCAATGTTTTTTTGCCAAACAAAATAACTTTTGAATTCCCCGTTCAATTTAAAATAAATGATCTCTCTTGAGTTGCTTTCCTTCGATGCGCCATTTTTGAGTAAAAAAATAAAAACCGTTCGATTGTCCGAGAAAATTAATGTAATAATTGAACAATGCAATTTAGCAATAAATATCTAGCTGCTCTGGAACATGTCACTGGCTTTTGACATCTGACAAGTCTCTGTTATTCAAATCTGTTCGCTGTGACATCTTTTTCATTATTTAGTTTTTACAATCTAGTTAATAATGGTGAATTATTCAAATGCAGAAATGGCGGAAATGCATTACGTATATGGCCTTGCCGACGGTAATGGTGAGCAAGCCAGACGGATTTATCACCAGAGATATCCCGATCGTGCTTTGCCAGATAGTTGAACCTTTTCTAATATTCATCGTCGTCTTGTTGAAACTGGTTCTGTCCGAAAAGGAACATCTGAAGGTAGACCTCTAAGTGTGAGATCACCTGAAATTGAGAAAGCAGTGCTGCACGAAGTCGAAGAACATCCCGAAACGAGTACGAGGAAGATTGCTAGGCACTTAAATGTTTGAAGAATTTTAGAGGATTTTTTGTTATATCCTCACCATATTTTAAGAGTACAGGCATTACTTCCCATTGATCTTCCAAGGCGTGTGACCTTTTGTCAGTGGTACCTTCAAAAAGTTACACAAAATCCGCAATTTGAATCAATGATTCTGTTCACGCACGAAGCTAATTTTTCGCGAAATGCCATTCATAATTTCCACAATAATCATTTGTGGGCAGAAGAAAATCCCTATGCCGTATTCGAAACCCATTTCCAACACCAATTTTCGGTTAACGTATGGGCAGGAGTCATTGGCAACCACTTTATTGGCCCATTCTTCTGGCCGGGACGACTTGACGGACAGACTTACCTCAATGTTCTTCAACAACAGA